TGCCCCTCCACCCTGTGTAACTGTGAAGGCTGCCAATGTATCGAATGAGTAATTTTTCACCAGTTTTACCAATCAGATAAAACCTTTTGAGTAGTATTTATTTAGGACAGCAGTCACGGTGATTCTTGGTGTCGGGGAAGTCAGCGTGCAGGCGCAGCTGGAGATGACGACAAACTGCAAGTTTTGACACCGTCTTGCTCCTGCTAATGCTGAAGAGTAGGAAGGCAAGAAAAACACAGGTGGGGGTCGCGTTGGTGCAGCGTTGGCACTGCGCGGTGAGCGGCTGAACGGGGCCGGGGCAGACCGCACAGTGCCCGGTTAGAAGCCTGCGGGGGGTGTAAAGGGATGCTGTTATTCCTGCAGCTGTCGCTTCAAGTAAGCTGCACTGCCTTTCCTTCAGCACCCAAAGGTCAGAATAGACGTGTGGCCATTTGGGCAATGCCCGCTGAGGCAAGAGGAGAGTAGTAGGGTACGGGGTGGGCTTTCTGGCATCTCTCCTTTTTCCAGAACGCTGTTCCTGACGCTGGGATGTGCCCTCCCTGCTGGTAGCGGGTGGTGTCTGCGCAGGTTGGTAGGGACACAGCGGAGGGCTGAATCGGCTGCGGAAAGTTCTGTTCACTTGCTTCACGTCTCTTCTTCACCCTTCTCTGAAGGGGAGTTGGACTGAACCTGGGAGATGTCATCATTGGTGTTGTTCAGCAAAGCACCAGGTGATGACAGCGTGGCTACTCCTTTCTGCTGGAGGCTTATAGAGGGAACCTGTGGCGGCAACCACAGGCTCTAAACCAGGGGTTTTGTGTCAAGCGTTTATTAGATGGACTCAGTCTAGTCTGGAATTAAGCTCAGGAACGGTCTTAACTTTGATATGTTCTGATGAACATCCTCCCTAGCTCAACCCACCATCCCTTTTGCTTGGAAAAGTTTAATTAGCAAAGTACATGCAGGAAAAGGGTGCATACTTATATCAGCATTGACTTACACATGAATAAGCAAATCTGATTTGGGGTGAACTATTCTTTTGGTAATCAGTTACTAGGGTAACTTGCAGATAAGGACCTCATACTCCAAAGTAATTTATTCAAGTTTTTATATAAAATGAATGAGTTTCCACTTTGGTTTCAGTAGAAATATTTATTAAAATACTTTGTCTTTAATTTTGAAAGAAAATGTCATCTTGCACCTCTAAATGGCGCTGGCATTATACAGACACTAAGTGTGAAGTAGCAGAAGAAGCAGCTGCTTAAAAACTGAAGCATGGCCTTCACTGATGCTCTTTGGTGCATTAAATGTATTACTGAGTGAATAGCCCCAGTCTTCACCGGGAAACTGTAACTATTTGTAGTGTAAGTGAGTGACGGTCTCTCTGAAGAGGAAGAAGGGCTGTAGATAAAATAACAAAGTGCCTAGCTAAAAACCATAGTTTTCAAGGCATGATTCCAGGAACAGAGTTTCACCTGAAAATAAGGCAGCCAAACTACTGTTCTGCTCCCCAATGTCACTAGGTGTGGGCATGTGTAAGGCTTTTAAGAGTGTCATGTCCCACTGGGAGCTATAGAATATCTAAAAATCATCTATTAGTACTGGAATTTTAAGCTGTTGGTCTCTTCCTTAGCGGCAACAAGCGGCTTCAGTGGTTGCAGGGTGAGTAAAGCTTGTGTGTTTGCAGCTACTAAAGATCAGGTTCTCACTCTATTTTTAAAACACTTGAGTGCTCAAATCAGCAGTGTGAGAAATATGTTATTTACCCCTACGTGAGCAAATTTCTTGAGGTACCGTGGCTGGTCTATACTACCTATTTCGAACAAGTGAAGCAACATAAACCCATACAGAGAGAACATTCTGGGGATAAGCATGAACATACACTGCTAGAGCAAATTCAACATTGGAAACGTCAATGGTATGAACTCCTGTGCTGTGTACAGCTTCTATTAAAGGTGTGACTTCAGAAAATGGCATATGCATAGGAAATCCAGAGACCTGGGAGAAAGAAAGAGGAAAAAACACATAAGGTAAGAAGAAAAGGTAAAGGCATCTGAATAAATACAGTTTTAAAAATCTGTTTTACTGTGCATGTAAATTTATCTTTTCTATTGCTGGCCTGAGGAGATGCAATAAAAAAAAAAATCCCATTCTGTATTTCAGTATCACCCTCTATTTCATATACTCCAGGCAAGCTTCAAAATTTTTCCTCGTTAGTGGGAGCTGAGTTCAAAGTGAAGATGTTTAGAAATCCACTGGAATAAAGTCATGTTATTGAACACATACAGCGTAACTTCACTGTTCTGCCTCTTAACTGGTTTTAATTCATTGTGTTCTCCTGTCTGCACTGGCTGGGGATTGGAGGTGGCAAACGTCTCCTGCCCATGATATATTTCGTGTCCACCAGGAACTGAAACCTCAACTCATTTTGAGAACCGTAGTTGCGTACAGAATTGTTACCGTGTGTGTTCTACATAAAGAGCAGAAGGACCTAACCTTTAGAGCAGCCTGGAGGAAGAATGCATGGGTACACCAGCAGCTGCACCAAATACTTAAGTAAATTTTCTTCTGTCTTTAAAGAGTGAAGAGCAGAGAACTGAAGTAAAGCATGGTGGTGTGGGGGCTCCCAGGCCTGTATTAGTCTGTGTGAAGCACTGCTCGGCACCGGTGCCTGGTTCTTACTGATCAGACTTGAGGTTAATGCACCAGTCAACCCATAAACATCAGTGTCAAGGAGGCTGCACTTGTATTTGTGTACTGGAGGTAGTGTTCTTGTACAGCAGTAATACAAGAACAGTGCAGCCAATTTGTCTTTACATTCTTAATCTTTATGCTCAACAGAACATTTTTATCTATCTCCAACATCTACACATAAAATAGATCATTGCTCCTTCACTCTGTAACTGTTACGTTGGTTTATTTTGGTATAAAAGCTCTTGTGACTTTTGATAGTAGAGGAAATAAATAGCCTAGGACACTTCTACCACAAAGCGGTGCCGCTAAATCCTAGGGCTTTAGAGCCCTACTTCCATCCACAAGCCATCTCGGTTGACAACTGTACCCTGTAATCTCCAAGCTGTTTTTGTAGCTCTGCCTGATGGTCGTCTTCTACATCTTTGCCTTGGTTTTGTTCCAGCAGCGGCAGAAAGTTACGCAGCGTGGAGGTACAGTATCTGTTCCAACGAGTTAGGTGCCTTGGTCTCCATTCCATGATCTTATCTTTTAATATTTTTTCAATCCTGCAATAAAATACACTGGTTAGTATAATTCTGCTATTTACTGGACATCTGAACTGATCTCCCTCGACACACTTAAGAGAATGACCGCAGTTAAATTTACCAATCCCTAAAAGCACAGGAGAGCAATGCCCACGTAGCTATGTGGTGCCTGCATGTTCAGTAGCCGAACAGGAGGCCAGGGGCTACACCCTCTCCTCTCACCCCACTACAGTGTTTTGGCTTACTAGAAAACTACAGCAATGCTTGAGCAGTCCTTTCTATCGGGTCATCTATATTAAACAGAAAATTTTAAAAAGCCCTGCAAGCTACAGTTTCTGACATTAGGCTGTTTTCAATTCCCAGCATTCAGAGTGGGTTTTTGGGCAGTAGGTACGGATATGCTTGAGGAATGTAAGAACCTCTAGTGATCAGCACGAGCGCTGACAGCGTTTGTTTCAGAGGTAGAATTACCTGCTCTGTAGTTCCACCGCGGCAGCCTTGTCCGAATGCTGATAAATTAATTCTTCAGGCTAGCAAGAAATAAAAAGTTTAAATATTAAAAAGCCAATCTCTTCTGGCTATACAGCAATGTAACTTCTGGAGCTACTGCCTTGATGGTACTCGCATGTATTCACAATTATGCTAAAATGATCTATTACTTAGTAGAAACACAATAAAAACACTAATGAGATGTTTGTGTGTAATGCTGTTTTTTTTTGTTTTTTTTTCCCCAGGAAACTTGAACTGTTTATACCTTTGATAAACTAGAAAAATTCCTGTTTGCTAAGTAAGGATGTGTGTACAGTTTGAAATAATGCCTTCTAGCTGTACGACACAAGTTAACATTTTCTTTATAGTACCAAGCTAGTCCTGGGGGTAGGGCTGTGTTAAAGATTTGTCCCATTTACTTCACTGTCCTGAGATCTTACACAGATATTTAGCAGACAGCAGATGGGTGTTCATTCTGTATAAAACCAAATACTTTGCTGTATTCCTGCTTTCATTTTTTAAGGAGTGCCTAGGAAAATCTTTTTAAAATGCAATGCTATTACATAAATATACTTAACCACAGATGCCCAGAGAACTCAGTTTCTGGTTCTTTATACCAAGTCTGTGATCTCTCAACCCTCAAATGCAGTTGGTAATAGATACATTAATACCTGAATGCTGCTGAGACCAGGGTATGGCAAGCTTCTTGAAAAGAAAGACTTCCACAGTTTTGGTTTGCCGACATCAAATTTTATCCTTGCTGGGGAATCATATTCTTGCATATTAAACCAGACCTACAAGAAAGCAAGTTTGTTTTAACTTCCAGCCTATAATCACAGCTATGGAACACATTCCACTTAGGTGGCGATAAAGTACTCTATAATCTTGACCTCCTATAGCAATTACCAGGATGAGTTCATGTGAAACAAGGCAATCTTGCATAGTCCCAGCTGATGTCCAACTTTTGCATTCTCACCTCAAAAGGGATGGTGCTGGTCTGCCATGTCTTGTGCTTCTGTGTATGGATTGAGATCTGCTGAATCTTTTTTTTTGCCAGTATTTCCTTTTCAATGCCTCATCTACTGTGCACCGCGGCAGTTTTTAATGCTGTCAGAAACTTTCTGCCTTTACCACTGCCCTAGCATCACGCAGTACTGGGTGACAGTATACTCCAGAGTTTCTTCCGCTGTCCCGTGCTGCATTTCCACCCCGCTGGATTGCTACGCAAGTCTCTTCTGAATTCTGATGAAATTCTTCCCATGGCCCAGCGCACTGCAGCTGTGACTGTGATGCCTGGTAGCCTGCTGCACCCCAGCACCATTGCTAGTTCAAGCTTACGATGCAGAAGGTAAGTAGAGATTGCAGACACATGCCACTCCTATGTGTATTTTGTCATCAAGGGGAACGCATGTCTTTCTTGCGCTCCACTTATAGACAGTCACTTTGGTCTCTGTTTGAGCCTAGTCTGAAGCATGCAAGGCTTCTTGTTCAACCTTTACATAGCTACTGCTGAGGCTGGAAAACGTACCAACAGTTAGTATGTAAATGCACTGATTAACATGTAATCTTTTGAACCTGATGGTTCTGTGTAGAACCTGTATGACACAGCATGGCTGTTTTTCCCCTGTTGGATATGAGGTGGCATGGCTCTGCGCCAAGTCACACGTAGGCTGAAAGATGTTGCCGAGCGTCACAGTTCAAGGTCAGCCGATCAGGTTGTCGTGGCTGAAGTCCCCAGAAGCTGTGTGGGCTGGCCTCCAGCCAAGTCAGAGAATGCCACTGGCAGGGAAGTGCCCAGGTTTTCCGTCCCTCCTGACACAGGCTCAGCTCTGGCCCGTGCTGTGGCCTCCGGTTCACCTGCCCTGAGCTGCGCAGCTCTTACAATGTCTTCTCTCTTCTCTCCTCCACTGCTATTGTTCAGAGGCTTTCCAGCCACGCAATGAATCATATATCATGGAGAGGCACTAGTATTGCTTGGATTTTATAGTACATAAACAGGAGGGCTTCACGCCAGGCAAAAAAACAATACAGTTTTTGTGCCATGTAATGCCAGCTCTGCGGTTTGCACATTGGACCACTGAGGGCTGTGCACATCGTTACGTATGCAACTCAAGTGACTTCTTCCAATACGCTCATTTTTCAGTTACATTTCACCTGCAAACTGTTAGCTTTGCTGAATTGTTACTCCTCAGCTAAGCAATAGTAAACTGAACATATTCTTAGGCCATCCAAGTTGGAAAACATGTAAGTAAAACCCAGGAACGAAAATTATATGCACGAATGTCATGATGCAACTAATGTACAAAAAACCCCCTTTCTTATTCTAAGTATTTAAAAAAATGACTTAAGATTGAATAAAATCACTAATGACATGACAGCATAAATATAGGTAGAATGAGGAACAAATGATGCATCAGGTCAAGAAAAATATCAAGTTACCAGCTCTTATGCATATAGAAATGTGACAAGACGGGGTACACTTACATTATCAGAGCTGATCAGACAATGCACATTTTGTAAGGGGCAGAAGGTATCATACTGCCCATAAAAACATCCAGTGCTGGGATTCCAAATTACATACTGACTTTGTTCCAAAGTTAATACATAGGCCGTTGGTCCCTAGAAGAAAAAATGAGAAATATGTTTTGAAACTGTCTATAAAGAGAGTATGCTTTGTATTGTTTGAAATATTAAATTTTTGCTATTTAGATTAATAGTACATTTTGGGGCAAACTGGTTGGAAGAATTTACAGGTTCATTGAAATTCAACCAACTAACATTTCTGTAACAATGTGTTCTCTGTCTCCTGCGTGGCAGAGAAATGTTGGACGTACACAGCCCCAAGCCATTCTTAAAATACAGATTCTGAAGGTTGTCTTGGTTCAGCTGTGAACCAATGTAAAATTCCATATTCAGGAATGTTCAATGTATGCGACTTCAGTATTGGCACGTCTCACTTGGCTACTGCCACAACACTCATCCATGGGCAACCTCTGAGTTGAAGGACTGCTGCCTAGGCAGTACACTTCTTTATGCCTCATCCATCAGCCTTCCCTCATGCAGGCACATAAGGAATTTCCCAGCTATCTTTTTGTATACTCTATCAGGAATCTGTCATCTCCTCTTCTATTTTCTTGTTATCTCCCGCATTTTCCAGGTACCTTGAAATACCTGGAATAATCCCCCTTCTTACAGCATGCATAAGCTGAATGCTATGTTAAGGACTACCATCTCCATCAGATTTGGAGTGGAAGGAACATACCTGAGTACCGGTTCCTGCTGCTGCAGTATCTGAGAATGTGCTAATGAAACTACTCGACAGGGATTTTTTACCAAAATTCTGTTCAGCAAAAAACTTTCACGTGTGCTTGGTAATTTAAGATACTAATGGTGGAAAACTGCATTATAAACAGTCTTACCATCTCTTTGAGAAGAGCAGTATTGGTTACTTGGAAATCTGAGTGCTTCCCTGAGAACAAATGCATCTCCTAAGGGGCAAAAGAATCTAAATGTTTTAGTTCTTAGCCGGTCTAAGCCAGATTGCTGCCAGCAGGGGCTCACAGCAGTGGGTACGCAGCAGCCCAACTCAAAGCAGACACCTAACCTGCCTGCATTGCAGAAGGCAGAAGACTGACTGGTCGAGCCTGAACAGATCTAGAATTACTCTTGCTGCAGCTTTGCCGTCAGCTGGAGAGGGAATCAAGGGACATGTACGTACCAGTAAGAATCCCTGGCAAGCCCCTAACCCGCTCCTGCTGCCTCTCAGCCTTTACCCAGTCCCACCCAACTCTGTCAGAGGCTGCGTACTCACGCCTCGGACACGGAATGGACTGTCTCCATGACACCTGTCCCGGACACACCATTTACACAAGCTGAAGTCCAATCAAGCTTTACAGATGCTTGGTATTGTACTATAAGGATGACAGCTACTACCAGATTAAGCATGGAAGCATGGGTCCAGGAAAAAAAAAACAACAACGGTATTTATACTAAGCTATACTTTCAACTTATATTTTTTTTTTCTCCCTGGAAAGAATCAGTTCCAACAGCACCAATGTTTAGATAACTTCCTGGAAAAACATGCCAGCAAGAAACAATTCTATCCATTGGTGGGAACCAAAGACTTCAGAGAATCAAAGTTAATATTCAGACCAAATGAAAAAATCCTCTTACCTCAGGAATAGCATTTCCAATGATAAGCCAGGCTTTTTTCCCCATACTAAGAAAATAATTACACAAGAGCACGGCATGTTCTTCCTCATCTCCCGCCAGAAGATAAAGAAATTGCTAATTGAGATACCAAAAAAAAAAAAAAAGTCTTTCTATGCAGTTATCAACTGTGTTTTCAACTTACAATATTTAATCATATTTCTTTTAACACGTTTGAAGCTAAAGAATCCTCTCAGATCTTTGCAGCTGATCTTTATTGTTTATTGGGCACTGCTTCAACATGCAGGATGAAGAGTGAATGCTGTGAAAATCCACGATGTGGGTCTGAGATTTTACCACAAGAAGCAAGGTCTTTGTCTTTTGAGTTATTCTGAATTTTGCAGAAAAGTTTTGAGATGGTAAAAACAACATCTATGATTAACTTGATGTCTGCTGTTATTCTATAGATGACAGGATTTATTCATATGTAACAAAGAACGCTAATTTCCCATTATTGCTGACATTACATGCAATGTTTTTTCTGTAGTTCCTTGGAACTACAACGATCAATTTTAAGCCTAGTTTTTAAGTCTCCATCAGTCAGCATCCTTTCACTTGTGCATGACTAACCATTTTGGATTGTTTTATAACTGAAAAAACCCAAGGAAAAGCTTAAAGCCCTAAGCATTCTTAGGGTCAATCAATTGCAACCTATCAAAGATAAAAATTTTGGCTCGTATCAGGTTGAGCAACTTTCCTTAAGCTTTGGTCCTCATGCTTTGAAATAAATGGCTTACAAAGAAAAATAGTCCTCAAAATAATAGAATCACAGAATAATTTAGGTCTGAAGGAACCTCAAGAGCTCATCTAGTAAAAGCTCCTTCCAGAAGCAGGGGCTGCTAAGAAGTGACATCACTTTCAAGAGGATAAAGAACTTGTGTTTAATGCATTACTTACATCTGATGTGCTCCATAAATCACAAATACCAGCAAATGACACACTATCTGGCAAAAAAGGAATCAAAGAGACATAACGAGCCACCAATTCCTGCAAGAAAACAAAACAGAGCAAGTCACGCCTTCCATTCATGACACGAATATGTAACAACAGTATTATTATACCAGATGGGAAGCATAGTGCTGTTTCCACAGATATCGGTGACAAAACACTGACTAACCTCACCACAGTAGCAGCTAGCTCATTTTAGAATTTATATCAAAGACTGGTATGATTTAGTTCCATTGAGGTTTGGCATAATTCTTTGTCTTTTAAAGGTCAATACTCATTAATATACCTATTTTTCACCAGAGAAGACAAATACCCTTTTCCAGCATCATTATGGATAGACTTACTACGTATCACACATAGTCACTACTACTTTATTTTGTATCTCTAGTTTTTCCTTTACAAAAAGCACAGCTATACAGCAAACATACAAAAATGTTATGTACCTCTGTGCATGTGCACGTGCACATGCAAACACACAGATCTGAAATCTGCATCCCAGAAACTTTGCTATCTTTTCTAAGTACTTACTGCCGCTGTTTGAGAACTATTTGGGACGGCATCAAGAAGCTCCTGTGGTGGATTCAGAGGTTTGATATATCTGGTAATAAAAACTGTTTTCCCATTGAGGTCAATTACAGTTGTTAGGCATTGGCGGCTTGGAAACTTTGATGTACACTCAGCTTCATACTTTTCCGCTGCCTGGAGCAATTTCTCATCTTCCTGGGTATCAAACTTCAAAAGACAGTAGAATTTATACAAAAATTAGTTTTATTTATAGTTTGGGCTTAAGTCTTTACTATATTTGGCCTTATTTCACCATTTACAGGAGCATAAAAGGAGTGTAAAATTCTTTCCTAACAGCATTTTGAACTTTGCTTGATAGTATATACTTTGGCTCACAGACATATAAGAAAGGTCAAGGCAATGGAAAATCAAGCAATTTGCATTTACTTATGAATGCACATAATGATTTGTATCTATAAGCTGGCTCTATTAAAGCACTGAAAAACGCAATGAAAAGTTATGGCCAAGTAAAACTGCAGGGATGAGTATGTAACATCGCGTATTAATTCAAAGGTAAACAATGATGGTTAGGCTCTAATCCTACACACTATTCACATAACACTCCATTAAAACCACAACTGAGGTTATGAACAAAATCCCAGTAATTTTTATATAAATGATACTGCGACAACCCTGCGCAATGCCAAAATATTTGCAGAGAAGGCCCAAGTAATTTTTAGATGAATCCTTATAATTCAGACTTGTCTAAAATTTTAACGCTTTTAGACGAGATTTTCCAGAAGCAAATCTAGGTCTCTAGCACATATTAATTAGGTAATAATGACAATTATTTGCTCATATGTCACCTAAGAAGTCATCTTTTAAAGGTATTAGGACCAGTCAAAATAGGTTTTTTTCATCTACTTAGAACCCTTTGTATATTTCTAGTGGTGCTGAGCATTAAAGCTCAGCCTTCATAATATTTGTGTTCAAAATAAACCACTTTGTCCTTTGTTACCCTTCTTCTCAAACTAACCAGAAGTGGAACAGCTGGGCAGGGCCCTGCAGCTAGACCTCCAAGTCAGCAGAGAAGGCACACAGTGGTGATTCTTCTCAACCATAATTAACAGCTGAAATCCACAGCCTCTGGCACTTCGTAAATTTAATGTAGTAATTCACTGCAAATATTACTGACAAATAAACAACTATGTCACAGTCAAGTAACACAAAGTGCAAAAAGATTGCTGAATGGCACAAACCCAAGCTAAATCTTAAACAGGGAACAACAGGAATCTCTCAACTGGTATAATTTATTAATATTGTACCTTCTTAAGCATTTCATTCATCTATATAGAGATTCAGGAAGGACAGCAAGAAAAAGAGGAAAAATAGATAAAGAAACAAAAAAAGGTATCGTAAAATTAAACTAAAATTAAGCTTAGTATCCTAAAACAGTACACAAGTATTTCAAATGACTTCAACTACGGAAGGAATGGCTAGGAATAAGAACAAAGGACAGCAAAAATACTTACTTAGTTTTTGTCATTTTACGCCAAGCACTTTCTATAATAAGTATATGTGTTACATTTGGGGAGTTGCAGCACAGAATAATTCTTTTTCAGTCACAGAATACACACACATGTCACTTAAGTAGTGTTTTTATGTACAGATTTCATTAGATACATACCACCTAAAATAGAACAGTCTCTTAATGAATTTGGTCCTGCTTTACTCAGCTTCCTCTAACAGGAAATTATATTTTATTGTTTTCTATCTATATTGCTTTGAAAAAATGGATTATTTGAAAATCCTGTACAATGTTTACTGAAGAAATAATTAGGTTTGGCTTAGAATCCAAGGTAAACAAATCATCTGCTGCTACATAAAATTTTTATAAGATTTAGAAAAACCTCCAATGCAAAGAGTGAACAAAAATCTGACGAAACTCCCACTTTATTGTCTATTTATTATTATTATTACTATTACTATTACTATTATTATTATTTATTAATCACAACTGTTTAATCTTCAAATTTTAGAAAATACATCTTATCTCCAACCTTTTGTGGGAAAGGGAGCCTAGATAAGATTATTCAGCACCCTGTCCAATCTCATCCTGAAAACTTGCAGTGATGGGGACTCTACCATGTCTCTTGGGAGATTGTTTGAGTGAACGATTGTAAAAAATTTCATTCTTATATCGAGATAAAACCTCTGTCAGGGCAACTTGTACCCATTGCCCCTTGTCTTTTCAGCATAGCTCCTTGTGAGGAGAAGCTTTGACATGTAGTATGTCTCGCTACTTAGAACAGGACTCATTTCCTGTGTTGTGAGTGAGTGTGCTATGACTCTTTGCTGCATCTTCAGACTGGAAGGTACTTCAGTCTCTTTCTAGTTCTTTATGCCTGAGTTTTGGCAAGGGGCAGTTAGCTCCTACCATCATATTTGAAATGAAAGAGAACATACGTCAGAAAGATCTAAGACTTCAGTAAAATATGCTGGTTTTTCCATCTGAAGTGTTCAAATAAATTCTAAATATAGCTACCAAACTGCACCATTTTACTAAGCATTGATATGATACATAACCTTTTGGTAACTAAGCATCAAATTGCATCTATGCAAGAAATTCTGAACTCATTCTTTAGAAAGGTCAAGATTCACAACATATAGTCCATCATATTTTACAATAATCTCACCTCTTATTTGAATTTGTATAATTTTTCTTTTGAAACAGTACTGGAGACAGGTCTTTCTATAAACAGAGATCCGTTTCCTCACAAATTCAGTACATTTTTTCTCAGCAACTAATTACTGCATGTGAATATTACAAGACCATGAAACTCTTGAGTAAGGTCTCATCTATTAAAGGTGCTTCAAGGCTGTTTAAGTTCATATTTATGGTTTCGAGTCCTAGTAATAATCTTCTCATTCAAACTAATTAACCTTAAAAGGCATCCATGAATGCACTTTATTAATTTTCTTTATTTTCAACAGTACTAAACTGTAACAATTCTGACTGCATTGCAAGAGAGCAAGAAAACACAGGACTGGATAGTTTCCAAGACTATAATTTAACAGGGAAAAGGGGTTTTAGAATGCATCGTACAATTTTGTATTTATTCTGAAAAAGAAATTACCTAACGATAGACCTTTCTCTCCAGTTCCTGTTCATCTCTAATAAATGACCAGTGTACCACTGAATTGGAAAATAATGAACTGCTGCTGTTTGTGCATGAAAAACATACATTCTTACTGAATGGCTCTCAAAATCATTGCATAATGTTACATAAAATAGCAAGCGGTGTATGCATTTTAACTACATATTGTTGTTGTTAGTGTAAGGCACTTCTGGTTTCTTAAAATAACTGAAAAAAATAACAGCTGCTATTTAGAAATAATTATCTTCAAGACCTGGAGGCACACATGAAGCCATAAATAATAAATGCTGTATTTGAATAGTATAAACACAGAAGCAAGAAAATGCTATGGTTGCACCTGCCACCTCCTTTTCGTCCTCTGTTCACAAATACTCACACGAATTCTTTATTGTTTACAGAAGTAAATGGGAAAATTACATGCTCACAGATCATGAATGCAAATTTGCTTTCCATTAACACTGGTACTAGATACCTGGTAAAAGCTATTTCTCATGCATTATATGTCCATCTAACTTAATGTGCATCGAATGAAATTGAACTGAGCTAAAAAATTTGAAGTAGAACACTCAGAATTTGTATTAACGACCTTCTGTACTTGTATTCTTGTTCTTCGGTACACGAAGCATACCTATTTATATGCATCTCAAGAACTGCACCACTGGAAACAAAAAGCAAGGATATGATGAATTACTGATTCATTACCTTTTCTCTGACTGACTCTCCAGGAATGAGCTGTGGTTCAATGGTAATGAACAGTGTTATATACGAGCCCTCGCTCAGATTTCGCACAGAATCATAACCTCTCTCGATTCCCAGGTTCTTTTCTTTGCTGTAGCCAAGGAGGACTGGAGGAATATCCACCTTAAATGTACCATCAATCTACAACATATACAGAGAAATACTTTTCATTAGAAGCAAAAAAACAAAACTCCCTTCTCAAATACATTTGCTACTTGTATTCCAATATTTTATTCCTTTGATTTCTTTACTAATCTGAATTACAAAACAATAAAATTAGAAAATATGACATGTACGCTGATTAACTGTGGGGAGAACGCGATACATCTCATTGTTAAATGTATTCGTTACAACTGGATTTCAGCCTCTCTTGCATATTATGGACACTAATACTTAATGCAATGGAAATCGTACACATTAGTTCTTAGACAAAAAAAGACAGCCAGCTTTTCACGGTTTTTCTTTCAAACGGAAATCTCCACATGGCACTATTTACCCAGAAAAATGACAAATGGCAAATTACAGGTTGCAGAACTATGCTTCTGAAGGCAGCCTCACACCAACAGGCCTTTGCCTATGTCTGACTGATGTGGGAATGAAGCTCCAGCATATCACAGATGGACACCTTCCACGCAGAAGCTGCTGATACTTCTTGGGTGCAACTGGAACTGGGCCCATTCAGCCAGCTTCCCCATGGAAGAGTGCTCTGATAGACTCACCAGCCCTTTGCACCTCCCTCTGCCACCGCAAAGAGAAGGTAAGCTCTTTCTGAAAGCTCATGTCACACAAGAGAGAGCATGCCCCACACTTGCTCAGGCAAGTCTCAACAGTGGAAGTACATAGCTTTAAGAGAAAAGTGAGAAGATTAACCTCCTGATTTGGGCAGAATTCAGATGACTGCCATCAGGAAGGATATCTTCAGTGGATGTGGAAGATGAACAGATGAATCACTGGGCTGGCCCACCAAACATTTAAGAACAAAATTAAGTTTTGATGAGGAGAAAACTCTAACTAAATCACTCAGCATTTCTGCTACAGTATAGTGGAATGGGATGAAGAAATGCTTCATTTGCTACTGAAATCTAATTGCACCTGCTGGACTGATTAGGCTTTTTCAAATTCAGTAAGAAACCCTATTCAAATGAAAAGAATCTCTAATGCTCGGAAGATCTATGCAGGCACTCACACTATGATTAGGGAATCACAAACTGCAACACGTCCTCAAAGAGTCAGGAGTGCATCTGACAGGAATCCTGGAGCTGCTCTGTTTCTACAACAGAAAGACTGATACACCAACAAGAAATACGAAGAACAGAGGTTGACATTAGTATTGGTAATCCTCAGAGACAGATTATAGGCTGTGTCCTTCACTATGTATTGGTGAGTAGTCTGTTAAAATGTCTAAGTCTGCCCATTAAGTCTCTCAAGACTGTGAGCAGACACACTTCTCAGGTGAAGCTCATGCATTCAGCATGGAACATTGTCCTATAAAGGGTACAGGATCTTGTTCTTTCTTGTTTGTTGACCTGTATTAACGGTGGTCACATTATGTGACATTGTCTGCACAGGACGGCCAAAGACTCATGAAAAGAAGGCTAGACCTTCTTACTACTTACATCTTCTCTGAAGTCAATGAAAGCTTCATTCTATAGGGCACCACAACCCTCAAACACCAAAATTCATTGATTAACCTTGCAAGTTGAAGATGGCATATTATTGATGATCTAGCAGAAGTAGACTAGCACTGGTTAGACATACACCGTCCCAAATTTCTCAGCAATGAAAAGAATCCCATGCTTTCTTGAATCCTATGATAATTATGTTCTGTTATGCCTTGCAAACAGGCAGCCCAAGAAAATACTTTGAACTCCAAGCACTACCCTTAAATTAGGTGAGACCCCTACAGACTTATCCTCCACTCAAAGAATCCAGGAGGCTCACAGTATGTCTTAAAGCCCTTAAGGTTCTGAGAAGAGCAAATTAATGTGTCATTAGGTATGCAACTGATGTCAGAACCTTCATGAAGTAAGAAACTGAGACTTTTGTGATATGGTGATTTGATCTACACATGAAAGTAACTGCCCTGCAGAAAAAGAGTCCTACAGCAAGATTACAATACAATACGACTACTAATGTGAAGACTTAACCTAAGTCCAGGATGGGTGGCTGGACAAAAAAATGCCCTTCCCCTATGAGGAACTCCATGTTTTACTATTAATCCCATGACAAACTGTTGATATCTCTTGAAGAAAGCTTCCCTTGAAAAGTTCTAAAAATGGAGGAAAGAAGGGATCGGGAGAGGCAAAGGTGAAAATTTGTTGATTTATGAAAAGCGTGAAAAAAGAAGAGTTAGGTCAAGTTTTCTATCACCCATCTAGGTGATATTCCTATTCCTAATTCACCTATCGGGACTGTGCAATACCTGAGTTCTCAAAAGCCACTGACAAAACCATCTAAAGAATTTGCGCTTTAACCTCATTACTTAAGGGAGCCAGGCTGCATTGTCAGTGTAGAGGTATGTTTGTCTATCTCTTCTCCCTTCAAAATATTGAACTTACTGACAAATACTTACCAAATTTGACAAAAACCAGTGGTTTCAAAGACATTTTCAAACAATTCCATAAAAATAAATTAACAGGTACAGAGAACATCATTAAATCTGACATTCCATTACCAGACCCTTTCCATTTCTCCAGTTTTGTATTTTAAGAAATTTATTCCAAGTTATTGATACGTACCCTTGCTTGAAAATATACCGTAGTAAATGGAATCTTAACACATCCCAGCCAGTGTCTCTCAACACGAGTGTGGATTCCACTTCCTCTTTCATGATCATCCTATTAAAAAGTTGCCCAACATAAAACTTTGTAAGGCAGCTTCATTTCCTTTAATTCAATCAACAATTTAATCAAGGCATTAATAAAAAAAATCTGTATTGTTTTAATGATTTACTATAAGTTCAGTTACTAGTATGGCAATGACTATTCTGCACGCCTTTCAAGTGTGCCAGATGCTGAACAAATACAAGAATGTCATGGTCCATGATATAATGTGCTTGCAGTTCAGGGTTCAAATCCTGTATAACCTGTGATGGGGAATGCACAACTCTGACAAGGAATCCACAAGAGTCTTCTCAGACAAAACCAATTAAGTTATGGTGTTCTAATGAAATATTTTACTAGTATTTAAAAAAGCTTTTTGAAGGTAAAAATGTATGAAAATCTAACTAAACGCTGTGGAACAGAAGCATTGTTTTCATGTGTATTGCCTATCAGGGATTTCCAAATCTAGTATGATCAGCCTACATATTATTTAAAAAAAAATTCTCTAAAGGCTAGAGTGATAGCCAAGTTTCAAGTATGTATCTTTTTTCCTTCTGCTGCACCAAATTCCATTTCAGTTTCAAGGACAGCATTCTGTTCACAGTGAAATGTGTGCATTATTTATTTTTGGGTTATATTTTCAAGAATGTTGAGTGCTGCTATTTTTTGTGCATGCTGAACTGACTGGGAAAGCTTTCACTGGTTTCAACAGGGGAAGGACTTATGCCAACACTGAGAGCTTACAAAAATTTCTTGTTACTAGTACCTGCAATTTTTATCTCATTCCAAAAAATTAATATATACAACTGAAAGACATTTTCTTCACCAAACAGCTTGTAAACCAGGATGAGACAGAGCATAAAACGATAGTTAATAAAAAATACAGGAACTGGGATCATTCATCTGGAATTTAGCAAAAATCCCAATTAAGTTTAAGAAGAATAGAATTCAGATTGCAATTGGTATGTTGCCTCTCAAGTTTAACATCTCCAATTTCATTAAATATCAGTAAAATAGATCACATACACATGTTCAACTCTAGCAGCAGATTATATACTACAAGCTTAATTTGTACAGACAAAGGTTAACACTGTAAAGACTGCTCCCTCTAACAATCTTGCAGTATTGACTAGATATAAAATCATAATGAATGACAAAATAGAGAAAAAGGAGGCACAGGAGGATGAAAGCTATTAACTGAAAAGTCTTACTCTGTCGACTTCAAAAAGCTCATAATTTTCTGTAATGTACACTGTCCTTCAGTTATGAACTCACCTCTATAGCGTCATGAAGTACTTCATCAAAAACATTAATGAAGACTTCATCCTTCACTGACTGCAAACTGTGGGTGCTGTAGTCACCATTAGGAGCTCTGAAAAGGTTAAACAAACCAAAAAAGTGATTTGAACAGAATAGGACAATTTGAATAAATTTACATGGTCAAATTAAATTATTATTACCCAGAAATTTTGCCATACCTAAATGGAAGCTGAAGTTCCTCATTCCAGTTGGGGTTTGGACCCTCTGCTGTTGTTGTCCGGCAGACTGTTCGCTGAAAAGAAACTTCTACAAAAGGACGGACTAAAACCTACAAATACAGATCAAAACAAAGGAACCAGACCTCTACAAAAATTAAGCAGAACATATTAAATTACGCATTTTCATGTATTTAGAAAAATAAACGTATACTTTGTGGAGATCAGCCTGATCCAGCCTAGATAAAACCTTAATACACCTTAAATATTGCACTTCCCAGGCTTCTAAGCATTTATGAAGCTTTTAAAAGTATTTTATATGTTAGTATTTGCAAAAGATTAGTGTATTCAGAACACTTGACATATTTATATACACCAGCAAAACCATGTTTTCCCCTGAGAGTGGGAAAACTACTGGCTATCTAATCAAAGAAGGTAACTAAAACAGAACATGCGATCCAGACACCAGTGGAAAAAAGTGCACTTGTATCCTCTTATCTGTAATCCAAGAAGCCTACTGGTATAATCCTGGCTGTCTCTGAAACTGGTCCCTATTACAGATAAGCAACTCCTACTAGACACAACAAACCCCTAATGTGATTAAAAATGCCTTAATGGAGCATTTCATTAGTGTTCAAATGCATATGGAAGAACCTTTTCTACTTTTCAAGACACAATAATTTTGAAGGAAAATCATAAGAAAAATGGGAAAAAGCCCTGAAGGGCTTTCATCTTCATTCAGAAGGATGCTGAATTTAATTCTCAATAGCAAGCAAATGTAGTTTCAGTATCAGCCATAAGAATGGCTGTGCTGGTTTAGACTAAGAGTGCCCTGGGCCCAAAATTCAGGCTGTGAAAATGGCCATCAGCAAACACATACAGAAGAGTACAAACAGAGCAGGCATACATTGCATTTTCTCCTATTACTCTTCCAGGCTTCAACCGTTTTCAGAGGAAGGACGTTCCTAAGCCTGTAACGATTTTTCAATTTAGTAACTCCCAATGGATCACTCTTCCAAATACTTATCCAATACCCACTTCAAAGCAAGCAAACCTCTTCAGTCCACAATGCATGTAAGCAACTTCTCTGGGCGCCTACTAACTGCTGCACGAAGAATCACAACCTTCTGTTTGTTTTGAACCTAACCCCTACCAGCTTCATTTGACAATCCCTCACCCTTGTACTGAAAGAGCCAGTAACCAGCCAATCCCTATCCCCAGTCTCTGTATTACTCATGATTTTATGCCTCTCTACCATATTTCTCCTCCCCTACTGGCAGTTACTGTTGTTATGGCCAAAAAACCCTACCATTTTTCATCGTACAGCAGCCATTCTGTATTTCTGACAACCTTATCACCCTTCTCCGAACCTTTTGCAGCTTTACTATCTTTTTGGATATCAAGGAGTGGGCAAGCCAACCTCACTAAAAAGATCTTTCTGATGGTAAATGTTACTGTCTGTGGAAAAGAGGAATGCCCAAAACTTCACATAAGAAAATGTTAGTTTTGTAATATACCTGGTTGAATGCCCAGTCTGGGCTATCAGTTGGGCTCTGAGCTGACGGAGAGGCTGCAAACATCTCATTAAAGGACCTTGAAGATTTGGATGGTTGTTGGAGTTTGCTACAAGACGAAACAGAAAACAATAACAACAACAACAAAAGACAGAGAACACATTACAAAATATGAATCCCTCACATTCTGTATTAACCATACAGAATTCTGGAAATATGTCTGATATTTTTGTGTGATGACTTTAGCCTTGGAAAGATATTTATTCAATCAAATAACACAAAAAGAATGCCAGAAAGGGGTAGCGAGTGTATAGCTCTCATAAGCAAAAGAGTGCTTCGTGCCTGGAGGTTCTCTTTTCTGAAGACCTTATCAAGTCCAGCTTTTTTTTTTTTTTTTCCTCCCCCGTACAATCTCCTCGAGCTACAGGTTTTTCAGTTTAAGGAGATGAATCCCCACAGAATTCGTAAACAGTGTAGACTTCATGGTATCCAGGCAAGGCCTCTACAACAAAATTAAACCCATATGATTCTTACACAATCGGCAACCCATGGGTGAAATAAAATAAAATTTAATATGTTTCTAGTGTTTCCACATAACTTTTTTTTTAATAACACCACACTATTCATGGAGAAAACAGCTCAAAATAAGATGTCATGTCATGTAAAAAGACTGGGAGAGTTTTTAGTTATTTCTGTAATACTGATAATGAATTGAAATTTTCTCATTTTCCTTCATGTCAACATGTTTCTAATATGAATTGCTTTTCCAGTATGAACTTATTTACAGAAATCCAACAGAACCTTTATAATAGTGAAGAGATAAACCAGCAGAAGACGCTAAATTCTGTATGCACAGTAATTGGTCAGCTTGAAAACACCTCCAAGTTATATGCAAGGTATATTCATTTTGGGAGAGAGCAAGAACGCTGCAATAATACATTGCTTCTGGAACTGAACCAGACTGTTCAGAACTCAAGTACCTTTACATGACACAGCACCATGCAGTGCAGGCATTGCCTTAATGTGCCTGAAGGTAATGGTCACCTTCAAAATTACTCAGAGCCAAATTAGGCTCAGTCCATTAACTTAAACAGTTCATGAAGGAGAAGACCAACATGCTACACTCAGGAGGCAAATATAGTATCTCACAATGAAGAACTGGATTTTTTTAGTACTTATTTTTGGCATTTAATTAAGGTATAATGAATTAAAATTGCCCTGAGTATAACTAGCAGGCTTGCTTAAGGTACAATTCATTTGACAGTACCAGAGTTACAGTGTTGTCAAAGGTGCAAGTTATCTTTCAGACATTTCTTTCCTCAAGCAGATGAACACAGTTTTGGTAAAACATTTCTTAAATTTAGCAGTTATTGATAAATGATTGTATTATTCTACAAACTTACAAACCAGCAGTTCTTTATAATTATTAATAAAAAGATAAATGCATGTATGTTTTTATTGTGAGGATCAAAACACGCAGGGCTGAATTTAAATATTAGTTGCTTCAGCTGTTCTCAAACCAGCTGCAACCAGAAGATGAATCTGTACTGGAAACAGGCATTTAAACATACCTCATCACTGGTTTTCTCACTGGGATATCATACGCTCTAATGATGTTCACTAACAGTTTTATGTCTCCATCTGATAAATTCTGTGCTGTGACCTTCTTCCTTTCTTTTCTTCTTGGCTTCAATGGTCGTTTTGGCTCTGTCAGTTTAAAGAGGCTGACTCCCAAAATACTAATAATCATAAAACAGATATTTAAGTCATTTTTACAAAGAATCCAGCATTCCAGTGTTTCCATGACACACATGCAAATTATACACTAACAGAAAAAGAAAATATATGCTCCTGTTAAGTGCCATACAAAACTCTATGAAATGTCAAAATGTTTTAATTGTTTAGTATTACACAATCCTGTTCTGTCTTGTATTTCAGAACTTATAACTTAAATGTGCAAAAAAGTTTTTTTTTTTCCAAAACTAGGTAAGATTCAAATATGACAATTACACAGCTTCAAGGTAGATCTAAACTACAGCGCTATAAACAAGGTATCTAGCAGAAGACAACAACCACCGTATGGAATAAGCAGAAAATCTAATTACACAGCTATGTACAACAAACAATAGGCTACAGAAAGGAAGCAGAATGAATATGCCACAACATACCCTGGACCCTCAGAACTTATAACCCAAGGCAAAGCAGAACCAAAGAAAAAAAGAGAAAAACAGGAAAAGAATAAAAAGCAGATGTATTCTTTTACACCTCAGTGATATTAACTACAGACATTCCAGAACTACTTTAAAAACTGATAGCCAATGGCACTATTTCCTTATACATAATAAAAAAATCACAGTAATTACTATTAAATAACATAAAACCATGAGTTACTGAAATATCTAAGTAGATGCTTTAAACAAATCATGGTGTATTTTAAATTTACTAACCATATAAATTAGCAAATAGAATCCAATATGAATTAGTATTTATGATAAGAAAATATCAGTGAATCATTTGATTTTAAACAACTCCAAAAGCTGATTATAGTCTCGTTCAGATTTTTCCATTCTGTGATGTGAAAACAGGAACTAAAAAATAGGATGAACTCTTATAAGAGAGCAAGTCTCTGTATCTCCAGCAGATGGGACTGTTTAGATTTATACTGCTGATTGAAAAAACTTTGGCTGTACTTTAAAGGTGTCGCTTTTATAGTGAACACAAGCAACTTCTACATGAAAGAAAAAATAACTATCTTTCACAAATTGTTTACTTACACAGATTTTAACTGAGCAATACTAATTAAGAGTCATTTATGCTGTCATGACTGAAAAATGTCAAAAGCAACAAGTATGGGATTTGGAAAAAAAAAGCAAAGAATGTGCTTAAGTAGTAAAACAATTAATAATCTTAAAAAAGAAGTAATTTCCAAACCCAGTAACATTTCTGAAAGTAAAAAGCATATGAGGACATACAGCAACAGCGAACCGAAATCAGAAGTAAAATAAGGAAAATTACTGTTAAATCTATTGCACATTATTTGCAGGGCCTATGCACTGACTCAAAGTGAGCATCACCTACAGAACCAGTAGTAGTGTTACTACCTCTGACACTTGTCTGATACTTGGAAGTCATTCAATCTGGCACCACCTAGGGCTAGGATCAGCTCATCAGATCACAGCCTGATGTATTATATCATGCTAAATCTTATTTACATACTGTCACATTACTGCTGCCAAAACCAGACTTTTTCTTAAAAAAGTTTTTACACACTTTCTGTGTCAATACACTGACTGTACTGGCAGAGGTGTACATAGTGATTAGAAGTCCATATATTATACTAAACATAAACTCGCATCAGTTGGTCACATCAATACACTTTGAGAAAAAAAGGATCAGAGACAGTTTGACATTAATTGTTTTGATTTAGAACAAATAAAGATAGCTCCCTTACCCCAGGCTGGGAATTTCCTCTTCATTGACAAGGTCAGAGAGAAGGAAATGGTGCTTTGCTATGAGGAAACGGTTTATTACTGATTCTCGAACCTGTGCATGGGGAGGAAGAAGAGACAAAAGTACATTTCTAATTCAAACCCACGGCAAATATTTGCATTCTGTCTATTAAACACAAACAAAATGTCCAAACATACATTCTTTATTTTTTCCCAGTTTTAAGAGTGTCACAGTCCAAGGAAAATTTTCTTTCCACTAGATATTTCTTCAGAATGTAATACGTGCTCATTTTACGACTACAGTGATTCTCTAGAAACATACTGGCAAGCCAGATATAAGAACATATGAAAGCATGCAATCAGAAAATGAAGTCTTATCTGCTTACAGCTATTCATCAGAAACAATCGCAACAATAAATGACACTAACAGACACCTCTCTTCCATGTCTAAATGAAGTTGCAGAAAAGGCTGTAGATAAATCTATATGGTATTAGTTATGGGGAAAAATCAACACTTCAAACTGCAGAACAATCAATGAATCCTGTATTACAAATACTATGATTACAAATAAATGTTTAAAATCCCTAGTTCCTTTCATTTCTATGCTGGGGTAAGTAGACTGAAGCAGAGAGACGAAAGTCTTCCCTCTTCTCCCAATAACTATACGGAAGCAGACTGACAGTATTGCCTTTGTCCTTTTTTTTCCCACCACTAAAGCTAGTAATGCCTTTATATACTGCGTTATTACAAGATCAGTTACAGAACAGCAATAACAAACAATTTTCTGCAATACACCTCCTTTTGTTATTTTTAAAATTTTTTATTTAAGTTATTCTTATTAGTCTTGTATCTTTGTGTTGATGTCATAGGCATATAAAGATCACATTTCAAAGTGAACTAAATTTCAGTTCTGATGTGAGCAATCTCATTTTTAAGCATATCTAACAATTTATAAAAGTGCAAAATATCCAAATATTATTTTAATAAAGGCTACTCATATTTAATCCAGAAGAGTGACAAATAAAGGTACTATAATGTACATTACTCTGTACTACTGCTATACTACTATTCAGTAGGCTGCATAAATGTATGTTTGAGTACACGCTTAAATACCATGCAAAACATATGGGGCTGACACAGACGTGACACCCTGGAAGATTTAAACGCTCTTCATTGTCTATGATTGTTTTACAAATTATTATGTTTTCTCTTACATCAAATCAACCTTATCATCATACTATGTTTTGCTGGCTGGCTAGGATGTGATACACTTTTTGATATTTCCAGTACAGGTAAGAAACTGGTAGCCACATTTTGCACTTGCTATTTTGCCAAAATAGTCTGGAATTGCAAACTTCTCTTGGTTCTGCAGCCAATGGTTTTTTTTCCCTAAGGATTAAAGAGAATGTCAGCCTAACAGAATGAACAGACTAGAAAAATAAATTAAATCAGGATAAGGGGGACAAGATATTACTCTAATACCACAATGAAGATGTAATGTGATGGAAGATATGCCCTCTGCCTTAGGCTGCAGGAGAGGACACTGTGAGTATTGCATTAAATGATTTTTAACAGTGGTTAGAGCCACTTTCATGGAGATAATTACATTCTTAGCATCACAGATTACAGAAGGAAAATAGGGAGGAGGGGAAAATCAGTGAATACCTGAGACACAACAGTACAAACAAAGAATTTACAGAACTGCTAGAAAAATTCAGAATGACTGGTCACTTTGTATATTGTGCCTTGTTTTCAGTAACATTAAATGAGTCATTCACAAACCACCACTTGTTCACGCCAGTTTCAGGCCTAACTTGGAACTTTAAAGATATCTGTAGCTCATGTTTAGACACAAATCAGTTTTTTGTATTCATGGAAATAAAGCATCCAAAGATAGAAGCAACATATGGCCTAGAGAAATATGATGGATCCACATTTTTTGCAGCTTACCTTCTGTAGATAGTTGGCAACAACTGCTCTGTGTGCATCTAGGTAATTTTTGCTGTCAGTTACATCCCTCTCTTGCAGTCTCTTCTCATAGTCCTAAAGATATTTACTAGAGTTTGTGATTCAGTATCTATTTAGTGCTTTATTATATACAAGAAAAATGGTAAACATTTCATTAATATTAATGTATGGAACACAGTAAACCCAAACAGATGTCAGAAGTTTATAAAACTATTTCTAATGCTATGGTATACAGTAATATCATTGCTAAACTTCCATGAATAGAGACAAGAATTCCATTAAATTACAAGATTCATGTGGTTTAAATCACTATGAATAACTTGAAGATTTCCCTCTCTTCTTTTAAAGCTGAACTTTGACCTGCTGCTGTAAACTGAAATTCCATTTGAACTGGAAATGGCTTCTCTTACTGCAGCTGCAATAGGGAGAATCCTTTTTGAACAGAAGTGATGCAGTATTCATGGAAGATGACCTGAAATCTGAACTGTGTTTTAACACACAAAACTAGTTTTCATAGTATCTAACACTCTACTTGTGGGAGAGTTTGTGGAGAAAAAAAATACTGAGCTATTTTTAAGTTACACTCAAGAAATAAAGAGATTTAATAGTATAATAAAAATCTTTCCTTGTACATTGTGAGAAAGTGAAAGCTCTTTAAGCAGCCAGAGTGTGAAGATTTGCTTTGCCTGAGTTTTGATAAAAGAGTCTGTAACCTAACTGAGGGGCCGGGATGAATACTGGTTACCACCACAAGAAAGGTTTACAAGAAGCACTCAGTTCTTCGGGAGAAGTATGTTAATGGAATATTTCTCAGGGTTGTGATTACTATTCTGGTGGACTATGATGAAAGCTGTACTGATAGACACAACTTTTATTCACAAGTTTAGGCAACTGTCTCGTAAATTAAGAAAAGGCTAGACCTGACCCTCAGCTTCCAAGCAAAACACAGAGGCCTACAAGTCCAGGGGGTCTCCCAGGACCTGCAGCTTAATGGCAGTCTGCAAATCAGGTTGCCTTTAGAACCCCAGCTAGTTATCATGTAAAAGCTACTCAGTAAAATTAATCTTCATGTCATTTTCCTACTGTTGTTACTTAAGAGAACATAATTTTTTCCCAAGATAAAGGGTCCAGGAAGCGCATTCTGGAAACATAGCGTTTCATTATTTCCACAATAAATCTTTATCTAACTTTTCCAGTGCATAGTAATTATTGTTGAACTATTGTTGAATTATTGTATTCAGATTAGCAATGTAATAAAATAAGAATAGCTATTCTGAGCCAGAAATCTTAATTTTTAGACAGATCTGGTAATGACTAAGCTAGAAGTCCAATATGGGAGTTGAATGTCTCACCAGTATATGCATATGCATTGCTCCCTTCAGAAGTCTTTTTACTGCAGTATGATTTAAGTACCACAAATCATTAATTAGTACTTCTTAACTGTTAGTAAACTGTCAGCATTAAATAAACTTTTAGAAGAAATAGGAAAACATAATAAACTTCTGATAAAGCAAATACCCAGATTCAGACTGATTGGCCCCAACTCTGATGTTGAACCACAAATTGAAACTCTTCCCATTTGACCCAAGACACTTGTGTTGCTTTATTTCTGTAAGTGTATCAAGATATTCTGCTTGCCCATGAGCATGGTGTGTCTTGGAATATCAAAATCCTACAACCCATGCTGCTGGGTTCATTAGTAGAGATGATGGATGCATTTGTTCTGAGGAACACAAGGAACCAAAAATATTAGGCAAAAGGAGATTTCATAGCAGCACTGCATATTGGTGCCGTACACTGTAAAAAGATTGGAGAGGACTAATACAACAGAATTACCTGGGGAAACACCACAGTGAGGAAAAAAAGATCATTTCATGGCCTACTTATATTGGGTCTGGCTGCAATGGATTTAATTTTCTTCATAGCACCTGATACGGTGCTATGTTTTGAATTTGTGACTAAAATGGTGTTGATAACACACCAGTGTTTTGACTATTGTTGAGCAGTGCTTGCACAGTGCCAACCCTATCTCTTCTTCCAACCCCAGCAATTAGGTGAGGGGTGCGCAAGAAGTTGGGGACACAACAAGAACGGCTAACCCAAAATGACCAAAGGGATATTCAAGGCCATATAACATCAGGATCAGCAGTAAAATGGAAAGAGAGGGGATTTGGGAGAAGGTAGGCATTTCTCAGAGACTGGCTATGGATCAGTGTACAAGTGGTGGCAAGTCCTTTACATCACTTGGTTTTTGTTTGTCTGTTTTTTCTTTCTTCTTCCTCTTTCCTTCACTTATAAAACTATCTCAACCCATGAGTTTGCTTACTTTTACTCTACCTATTCTCTCCCCTGTCCAGGGAGGGAGGGAGAGCAGAAGTGAACAAGCGTCTGTGTGGTGCTCAGCTGCCTACCAGGGTTCACCAACAGCAGGAAACTTCCATTATCAGGTTTAGCTACGACTACAGAATTAGTCATTTAGGAATAGAGCTAGCATACAGATTGAAAATACCACTACTGTCAACCAGGAGAATGCAGTTATTCCTGGTTAGGATAACCTGAGGAAGCATGGGTTTGAATGGCCTGAAGGGACTGCTTGCTGGGTTGAGAACAGGATGGACAACTGATCTCTAACAGTAAGGATCAATAGCTCAATGACCAGTTGGTGTCCTCTAACTAGCAAAGTACCTCTGGGATTGATTGTAGGGCCAATATTACTCAGTACCTTCACCAGTGACCTTGATGAAGAGACACAACACATTGTCAGCAATTTAGCCAATGACACTTGATTAGGATACGTGGTTAATACAATGAGTGACTGAACCACAGTTCAGAGGACTCTTGATAACTGAAGACTATGACAACTGAAAACTCAATGAAGAAAAGGCAAAATTCTGTATCGAGGGTGGAGCAACTCCATGTGCTGGCATAGGCTTGAAAGCAACCAGCAGATTTACAGTCGTATTGCAAAAAAGCTGGGAGTTATGATTTAATGACAGCCAACTTGTTCTTTTGGCAAAAGGCAAACCACAGGCTACGTTAGGAGTAGCATGGCCTACAGACAAAAGGAAATCAGACTTGGCCCTTCTGTAGGCATACCTGAAATACTGCATACATGTGGACATGCTTCTTGAACTGGACAGGGTCCACTGAAGGACTACTAAGACAGTCAGAGGCCTATAGTACATGACTTACAAGAGGTCAGAATCTTAGAATAATGTAGGTTGGAAGAGACTTCTGGTGGTCATCTGATCCAAACCCTCACTCAAAGCAGGAAGAACTCCAATCGGGATGCTCAGGGCCATTGCCAGCTGAATTTTCAGTATCTCTAGAGATGGCAATTCTACCAACTTGCTGGACGTGTTCCAGAATTCCAGAATAGATCCTTTGTGAAAAATGTTTTCGTTACATCTAACTGGAATTTCTCTTGGAGTAACTTGTGTCTATCATCATCTTGCCTCTAAGATGAGCCCTGCTCTGCTTTCTCTGCACCATCTTGCTAGGTACCTGAAGGAAGCAGTTAAGATTCCCCTTAGCCTTGCCTGCTTAGGCCTTTCAGCCTCTCCTTGTACGTCATGTGCTCCAGCCCCGTAGATATGCTGGTAGCTCTGTGCTGGACTTGCTCCAGTATTTCAGTGTCTTTCTTGCACTAGACAAGATGTTCAACTTTAATTAGTCTGGTGAGGAAGAGATTAATCCAGTATCTGCCCACAACTATTTGAGGGGCAGTTACAAAGAACAGAGTGCCAAACTTATCTCTGTAGTCCCAGACAATGTAACAAGGGAAAACAGCCATTAAATGCAACATGGAAGGCTTAGCTTGGACATGTTTGGGTTTTTTTTGTTGTTTTAATAACCACTGGAAGGACACTTCAGCATTGGAACAGGTTATCCAGAAAGGCTGTGGAATCTCCTATTCAGAGGTTTTCAAGACTTGGCTAGACAAATACACAGCTGACTTCATATAGTGCTGGCAACAGTCCCACCACTTCAGTGGAAAGCACGACTGGATGACCTCCAGACAGTATTTTCCAAACAGTATTTCCACGAATCTATGAATTTTCAGATGACTTTGCCAAATGGCTAGTAAACCAACTAGGAACAATACCACTTTAAACTTAGTTTTGAAGATCACATCATACAAAATGAACTTGGAATGGGTGATCATGGGTTTATCCAATTTACCCTTAATGAAAAAAACAAATAAAATAATTTATAAACTATTGTTTTCAATTCTGAATGATAACATGAAATGAACAAGTTAGTCCATAAAATCAACTGAATCAGAAACACATATTGAAGATGTGGCACAATTTTTAAATAAAAGATACAAAACTTATCTAAAATTTAAAAAGGAAAAATATTTGTTGTAAAGAGCCAGACATGACTGAATGGTAAGTTTCCTTAAAAAAGATATAATCCAAAAGAAATGGAAGAAAGGAATCTTTCAAAGAAAATTATGTAAGAAGAAGTAGGGATAAAGCAGTAGTTGCCAGAATCTGAGATGGTTCTGATCCTGCTAAGGAACGAACACACTAAAATGGTCCTTAGCCACACAAACTGCTAAAGAACAAAAGAATGCATGACTTAACACTAACAATGGAGTTGAGATTAAAAATAATTGAAGCATGACCCAAATAAAAAATGCACACATTGCATTTCAGTAATTAACAGACAGGCAAGGACAGGGTAAGCTAATTGGAACAATCTACTAAAACAGAAATAACTGCAGCAGACTATAGTAAAACATATGAAGGTTTTAATTCTTGTTAAGAGTCATTGCTTCTAGCAGTCTCCAAAGAAAGGGCTCAAAAGTTAGTGAGCCTAAGCCTGAATTATCTTTGCATTACATTTCTATATTTGAAATCACCTTTAAAAAAGAAAAGTCTCTTACCTTTAAAAAAAAAAAGTATCTTAGAACATTTGTGTCTACAGCAGTTGCTGTGTTATTTTTCTCCTTCCACAGTACAGCTGTGGAAATACTGCCTTGGAAGGAAGTTATCTTAATTAGATTACAATAACACCAGAAAAGACTGAAGGAATTAAATTCTAATTTTTTACTCATCAGCATAGCTGTACATTCTTTAAGGGATCAATTGACTTAATTGCAAGTCAAATATTACTAGAATTAAAACTAGAAAGAAATAATTCACATAACATTCTACCTGGAAAATTTTCTCACTGATTTCTCGTTCATGTAAAGGGACTGGCTTATAGTTTCGGAACTCTGCCACCTCTCCATTTCTGAGCTGCAAGAGTCGGAATCTCTTTGATCTATTAAATTCCTCATCAGAAACAAAATTAAATTCTTGCTGCAACTGTTCCAATCTGAAGTAATCGGGAACGCGTGCCTCTCCACTTGTGGCAACCTAAATTATTAACCCAAAAAATTATTAATCTTTTCATACAAAGTGACAAAAGTCTATAAAATAACTTCTGTAAGTCTTACATACATATTGCAAAGATGTTGGTTTTAAGCAAAAGCAGACCAAACGTTTTAAAGTATGTTTTTGTTGAGCAAAGTATATGAGATTATACATTTAAGAATACAAAAAAATTCTATTTCCTCGTAACATAAACAAAACACTAAAGAGTAGGAAAACTATAACATAGCAGAGTAACCTAGGAAGCTGTGCTATAAAGACGATCCATTTACACAACTTCTGCTATGTAAATAGCTCCTCAATTTGATGTTTAGAAAAGTCCCAACTTCTACAGTACACTAGATCTCTTTGTGCAATTGTCACTAGTGAGCAACTTCCTATTTAATACCATAAAAGTACAGTGGGAATACACCTGCACTTTAAGGAAACAACAAACTCAAAATCCGTATTTTTTTTTTAATTTATAAATTAATCAGTTTGCATACTCCTTTATACTTATTTTTTCACCACTAGAATACTACTGAATGGATTAATAAATCATACTGATAAATAAATAATTAACCCACTACTAAATGGATTAATAAATCTTATTTTTAATAGACATTTTGCTTCTTAACACTGACACAAGTATGTCCATCACAAATCCGAATGCTACTACATCCCTGGCATACATGCAGATTGCCTGAGAAAGTAGTGGGGACTAGGTGCTTCACAGATCCCTTACCCTTACAGCTCTGAAAAAGCCACCTACCATGATCAACTGCATCAGTGCTGCATTGTTTGGGTCATTTGGATCAAGTTTTGCTTCCGCTGCCCACTTAGCTAGTTTCTTCATGTCAGTTAAGCCCGATGTGCCAATGGATGCAATAGCATCAATATTTTTTAAAGCACTAAAAAGACGGAATTGACAGAACTTACACCTAAAGCACGTATGATATAGCAATATAAAAAAAGCATTTAAAACAAGCTTAGAAAAAAACTGAAAAGCTCCCCACAACCTGAATAGTAAATTCCCCTACACAATTATTAGTTGTAGCTATGCGACTGAGGGAGTGATGAATTGCAAAGGAACATAAGGGGGAAATATGAAAGAATTGGTGGAAGGGAACTGTTATACAAAGTAATAAGGTGCTTATTGATAGGTTTATGGTACACCTATACTATTCCACATTGCTGATTACTAGGAATTAAGATGATAAATTGCCTCCCAGCATGGAAGTTTAACATAAAAGTTCTGACAATCAATACTGAAGAGAACTTCTTAGATGTACAGTCCTTGCTTGTGCTCTATCTTAAATCCTGTCTTTGACACATCTCCTGGATGGGTCTCTCAGACCTGCATTGTAGTCTTGGTCTCTGCCCCCTTCCCAGCTGTTTCTGGGTAGACCCTGGGGCCCGATTCATCCCCTCCCCATGTCTGGGACTGCTGCCAGTACCCTGCTCTGCCTGTCATACTCAGTTTCTGTAGGACTGCCTGTGCTGGGACACCCTTGCAGCCTTCTGCCTTGTGGTGCAGCCCTGCTTTTGGTCCTCCCTGACACTACAAGTCCTAGCTCCGCTCCTTATCCTTTGGATGCTCCTGCTCACTTTCTTGTATTCACAGTAGGCAAGGAAGTATGGTAGGTAGCATGGAGGCCATTTCTACACTGACTTGCTGGCCAGCCTTCTGGCATCTTCTCACAAAAGCCAACCCTGAAGCCCCACTGCTACAAAACCTTGCCATGTAAACTCAATACACCAGGACATGCATGTTATTAGCCAAATACCACAGATATTGTGGATATTGCCCCTTCTCTTGTTAGGGGTGCTAATTTGAGTGTTTGTTCTCTACTTATCTGAATATTTTCAAGAAAGCTTTAAGAACATATGGATCTTTCTCACACTTGGTTAGACTCAGCCAAATATCCAGCAGTTACTGGAGCAGCAGACAAAGTGGTAACATCAAGGTTGTATCTTTAGGCACCAGTCTCGAACAAATGGACACTGAATCACGGCTGTGCTGAAAAGCTAACGGGCAGCAAAAACTAACTTTAGGCATCAAAATCTCGTCTCCAGCTTTCACAACAGACAATGGAAAGTAACAGGGGGCTGTTCATCTCTAGAGGGTGATTCAACAAAGTGTGTTTTACAGCTAACTTCCTTCTGAAATTCCCCATTTTTCCATTTACTACAGTGATTAGTCTCCTGGGTTTAAAGTTAGCCTTTGGGAATGCATCCTTATGTTTTAATCTCATGCTATTCTAGTCTCACTGAAGTCAGCAGGTTACTGATATGCTGATCAGCAAATTACTCTAATGGCTGCAGCTTGGGTCAAAAATAGTAACAGAGTGATTGGGATGCCAATGTCTAGCCTCTAAATAAACAAAAATCTGACAGAATCTAATCAGCTGTGAGAGGTACTTGCTCAGTGTTATTAAGTATAGGAAAACTCTTAAGGCTTACAGTGAAGTTACCCGAGGACATTATAAAAGCAGACTTTATGTACCATCTCCTTGACTTTACTGGAATTATATAAAAGAAACAAAATGGACAAATAATCTACAATATCCAACTTGCAGCCACAGGGCAAATTAGATTGTTTCAAATTGAATAATATACTAATGTCTGCAGGTCAACAGGCTTTTGCTGGAGAAAAATCATGAAAGAGTATTATCTTGGAATCATCCAACAGTTGAGAATTTATTACTGATTAGTTCACTAACAGCATCAAGCACCCATACTAACCTCTACTGCTTGCATAGCATAATTACATTAATTACAGAAAAGGCATTTAAAGCATGTGTCCCTATAGCCTCCCCAAATGCACTTTGGATAAGAAAAAGCTGGAGCTTCTGTTCTTAGCAAAATGATTACAGGAATGTTCCTTGCTAATATATATATCTTCTATTAGAAAATCATAAAAGTGAATTAATCAGCTTGAGTGTAACTTTAATATTGTCTATAAATAGTATACTAAAAGATAAAATTTCTAACTAAAATCTATTTAACCTAAGATATCTGCATGAGGTTACAGTGCAGAGTAAAATGTATAAACTTAAGGAAAAAGATTTTTAATTATGAAAGTGTATTTTTAAAAAAATACTAGTATAATCAGTTTCCCATGAATCAATGAAAGTTCATATCATATTACCTTGGAATGCCTGTGTTTTGCTGAGATACTGGAGGTATTAAGGGGATTCCTTTTTCTCCAACTGCCCAAGAAACACTATTGGATACTTTCCCAGAGGTCATTAAAGTCATTTTGTTGCTACCATCAGCTTCAAATGAAAAGGACACACCTATCAAGGAGGAAAAACCCCAAAGCAGTATATTTATGCATTCAAACACAATGTATAAACATCTTTAAAAATAATTCCTGAAAATAAGTACTCAAATAACCTCTGCCTTTATATAAATTGGGTAATGTGAAACAACTTGATTCTGCTGCATGCTGTGGGGAAGGACTCTGCTCTACAAAAGGAGTGAAAGATTCCATTCCATCTACAGGAAGGCTTTCCATTTGGGTTGGAAGGAAAGGCTATGACTTGAAAGCTATGCCAAAGGCTTTTTTTTCCTTCACAGATGCACACTATTTAATATTTTCAGGTAGTTTTCAGATTCAGCATACTGTTATTAATGAAACACAAATTCAGAGTCAAAAGAATTATGCATGCCTGAAAAGGCAGTCCTAAAGCTTTATGATACACAATTGTATATACAGTCATCATGATCAATGACATTTACACACACATTTGTTACAATGATTTTTTACCACATTTCTTTCCTCCACAGCTTTTTATCTAGTCTTCTGCTCTAGCTTGATCTGTATTTCATATATGGCAAATTTATGCAAGCCAGGCATCTCATAATGCTGTTCAACCCTATTATATAAACTTGAAAGTTCCATATGCTACTATGTATTATTCTTGTTTCCCCTTTTCCTATCCCTCCTTTGTTTTATCTTACTAAAGTCCTAGGGATAAAATGTGTTGCAGGATGTCAACAACAAAAACATGAATACAAAAAATTACTCTGCATATACACTTATACAGCCAGTTTTTCACTGGTTTAAAACATTAAAATCACTGGAGCTATACTGATTAATACCATCTGCTTGCTCTGCAGCGTCAGAGGCCTGATTACTTAAATACTAAAAAAACCCAAATGCCTTCTATAGCTCGTAGAGCTCCACTAATACTACAAGCCGAATAATAAACACACACATTTTTATTATATACATCTTAAAATTAGTAAGAGACAAAAATTCCACAGCAAACTTTAATAATAAGAATCATGACTATTTTATAAGATTCAGTTACAGAAGCTGTAAATCCTCTTAACAAAATTTACTGTGAAACTTATGCCAAGCCTGTTACTCCTACGCGGTTGCAGCAAAATGAGAAACTTTCAACTGAGAAAGACTGAGAGTCCCTACCACTCCCAACTCCTTCATGGTCCAACATCACACGCTGATTGCTACTGAACTCTACTTCCTCCATAGGAGCACTGCCTGTCAGAATTGTAGTCTCAGGAACAGGTATGAACACTTCAGCCAACAAGGTGGTACTGCTCATACCCATTGTTTCGTATATCTAGAAAAAAAACACGGTGACAGACATAGTAAAAAATTTACACATGTATTCATGAAAAGTTGAAAACATATTGTAGGGTATCTGGACAAAAGGGTTTACTATGACCTAAGCATGAAATAATTCATTTAAGGCAATTGAATTAATTTACTTTCTAAAACAGCCAATTAGCAGACATTTCAGCTACCAGCAGCTAACTTGGTCTGAATTATTCTTAAAAGTATATCGTCCTCACCTTTCTAATACACCTGAGAATAGTACGATAAACTCCAGGCTTTAAAGAGCATCATTGTACAATATTCAACTGATTGTGACAGTCAGTAGCCAGAGGGATTCTGCCTCACTAGTTCTCCCTTGCCATGAAAGGCAGGGTAAGGCACACAGTCCCTGTTCTGGCAGTACTGCAGGCTGCTTCCCTCTTTCCTGGCCAGCTGCAAGCTCAGAGTGATGTGAGTGATTTCTCCATTCAGATGTTTTTAATCCAAGAAGATGGTGTGTTTTTTCCCTTTCAATTTGTGCATTACATAAATGGAGCAGGCAAGGGGTATACACCCTCCTCGGAACTACCAGTTACCTAACAGGAAAAGTCATCCAACAGGAGCACTACGACCCTGACCATGTTCCTCCTAAAAATACATTTTATTTGCTCTAAAAATTATTCATGTGTCTCATTCATTAATTCATACTTGGAATGGGGTGGTGGTGGTTTGACTTAACTGCACATTTGATCAAGTCAAGCGCAGTTATGGACGTTACTAGCAATGAATTTCTTTCTTATCCCCCTCCAGCAAACATTATGATTTTACTGTGTGGACAATAATGTTTCATGAAGACCGTTTTGGCAAGTTTACCTGCAACATAGATCAGTTTTTCTAAAAGTAAGATGCTGCTCTTCTAACATACTTAATTACGCCCCAATTATTTAATTTCCCCCATGCAGCCCATAGTCATAGAATCATAGAATCACTTTGGTTGGAAAAGACCTTTGAGATCATCGAGTCCAACCTTTAACCAACCCTGCCATGCTATATGTAACACATATATAGATATATAAAACACACACACACATACACAAAGCACAATCAGAAAAAACATAGCAGCAAAGTTGAAAGCTTGTGACTGGAGAAGCAAGGAAGGGGTATAAGACTGATGATTTACAAAGAGTCTTTCACAGGTTTTTTGGTCTTTACAACATTACCATAGAGCAAAATAAAAACATTACAGGAGTAATTACATTTCATATTATCTTTTTTAAAGTTACTATGATAAATCATTATCTACCTGTAATTTTAAACTCTCTGGCCAATTGAATATTTGTAAATTGAAAATCTGTCCGAAGTGAACTCTGAAATCTGAACTTATTGGTCGGGTAACAGTCCTTGATACTTCTTTGGAGTTGAAAAGGACTTTTATAAATGCTGAGCGTTTCTTCACATCTTCTCGTCGCAAAACTTCTGCTCTGTAAATATGTCAGACAGGCTGTCACATCATTTTTAATAACATTTTTATTCTCTGGTTGTTTTTAATGAGAATCTGATTCCTCAACAGGAAACAAAGGTCACCTAAATAAAGTTGGTATTCTCCTAAAAATGTCACTACAGAGGAATGACTTTTAAACTATTATTTAACAGTTGTTTTATCTTCACATGAATATAAAATGATTTAAAAATGGACAGGTCAAACTTTAGATCCACTTCATATAAAAGGAGTTATTTAGGGAAACAAAATTCCCTTCTACTCCATTCCTCCAAAGCACAACAAATGATGTTAAATTGAGTTAAGATTTTGAAATTTTTAGTCACTGGGAGTAGAACAGCCAAGCAATATTCCTTGATGAGGCTATGTGCTGAATAAGTATGAAACAAAGCAGTTTTTAAATTACTAAAATCTGCTAGATGTACATTAAATTGCATGTGTAAATGTGGAAAGCAACAGAAGTAAATATATTTATTTTATCCACAGTGAAATCTCTGGTTTACTACACAATTTCTTTATTTTCCCTTTGTTGACTACAGCACAGACCTGGTATAAAGGACTAGCTAGTGAGTGTGGTACTGCCAGAAGTGACCTAGACTCTACACTGAAAACAACTTCTTTATATATACACCACTGTTCTATGCAGATGCTCAAGGAACATCAGAAGGTTCAAAGGGAATGTGTAGACATGCATTCTCCAAGCCCAGTGTATATGAGGATACATGTGACTTGAATTATCTCAGCTTCAGAAGCAGAAATTTTATCACTAGGCTAAACAGAACGGTGAGCACACACTTCTGAAGTTGTTAATTAATAAATAACAGCAGAAAAACATGAACAAAGTAATTTGTAGGCCAACATTTATCTTACCGAGGACACAGCTCAGTTGGAGTTATGCTTCCTGAGAGGACCAGTTCAGGAACTAGAGCAGGCTCTCCAGGTTTCCTTCTGCAGTTGTCAGCTTTTTCTCTAACCTGCTGCTCTATTTCCAGGCTATTGGCCATTTTAGGTGGGATGGGTTTTACACGTTCCTCACCAAGATCACAATCTTCTACTGATTCTTCTTCATTAATGTCTTTTTTCTTCTTTTTCTTCTTGGACTTCTGCATATAAAAATAATAATGTTCCTCCTGAACTTACTTCAATCAGTAGAGTTTTTTTCTCTTGTTCTCTTGATTCACAAGTGATAAACACATGAGAAATAGTTGTATAATTTTAAAATCATCACATACAAAAATAAGATTTCTCTCATTCTCTAGTTCCTCTTCAGATTCAGAATCAGCAATGCACTCCTTTCATACACTTCAAAACCAAAATGCACTTCCAATAAAACATTTATTTAACCTTCCCAACCAACTTACAAAATAAACATGTTTCTTGAACATTCTGCCTAGCTGCTGTCCTCTCATTTAGCCTGAGTTACCATGTCCATTCTGTTAGGATTGGAGGAAGGTTACTCAACCAGTAGACACAGTTCTTTGAGATGTATTGTCTGCATACACATTGACAAAGTGAATGCACATATGCCACAAACTTTGGGGCACAGTATTTTTAGCTTAGCAGTATCTTTAGCATGAGCTAAAGATATGAATGATCCCCTCCCGTCCTCTATGCCAAACAAAAGAATAACCAAACAGAACACCACATGCCTTTCAGCATCTCCTAAACTGCAGAACTCCAGTTCATGTGCATGTTCAGCTTTATACAACTGCAAGCAAGTTCCTCCTTCTGCAGACTTACAGATTACTTGGAAGTACAGCTTGCTCAGAAGCAGCAGTCACTTCATGATTTAAGATATCGTAAGCAGAAGAGGAGGAGGCAAGGAAAGCAAACAGTTTCTCCTGACTAACTGAAGTACTTAGCCAAACAACTTGTTTGCATACTTTTATTAATAAATATTCTTTCTTTCTTTCTTGGTCTAGTTTCATGTTATCCTTTTTGTTCCTGTATTTCCTTCTAAATTTATCTAGTCTATGCTACCGCTAGTGTCTTCCTTAGATTCATGTGACCTGTGTTAGTAAGACACAAACAGCAGTGATTAACCAACAAAGTACTTTCAGTAAAACAAAATAAAGTACTTCTGGGCATGAAAGGAAGGTCTGTGTACTCCATTTCACTCTAAAGGGAAAGAACCCAAATCATCTCGGTCTCAAGACAGTTCATGACTAACACAATAAAAAGATGCTGAAAGCAGCTTTCGCTGGAACCACCCACCATGGCATTTGTGAAGGCATAACTGGCTAGAGGTAGATGAACAGTTCCCATTGGGATCAATGCTCAAGACTACCTACCTTCATTTTAAGGTTTACATTTATTCATCTTATCCAACAAGTGAATTGACAAGATTCTAGTAAGTCATGTGCCCACTAGTGTTCTGATAATAGCAATTTCCAATACCAGCAGCTCAGCTTTCCCTCAAACATCTTAAGTGTCTTCCACAGATGCTGCTATGTGAAAAAACTTTCCACAAAAGTATCAGCAGATGCACTAGATTCTTGAAAACTGTCTCTGAAGCATTTCCTTCGACTTTATCTTGCTTTGGTATCCAAAAAAACCCTGCAGTGTTCAAACTGGGCAGTAATTATATTCAAGTGTAATCACCATTACCCTGGGGTATCCAGCACATTGCCACGCAACTACGCAAGCAAGTCTGATTTTGCTGGCACTGCCACAGGCTATTTCAAAGATCATCCTCTTGCCCTGTATTGGTCTAGCTCCTGTATTTGTCAATGTGCCCTTGAAGCATGCCTGAGACCTTAACTACAGTACAGATCATTAGTCATAAAGCTTTCCAGAGGTAAAAGGCTAGAATATTAATTAATTTTTCAGGTCTGGGACATTCCTGAACATAAATTTACATGAGATGACATCAACTCCTTGTTCAATAGAAACACCCTATAATTATTTTGCTTCACCACTCACACACACACACACAAAATTCATCCATGTTTTTTCTTTGCAAGAAGGACATGAATTTAATGGGAATGCTGCAAAACTATTGAATTTAGAGAAAGAACTGCTGAAGTGCTGAAAATCAGTAGTGGAAGACAATGCTCCACAAAACCCTAGTATGTTTTAATTTTTTAATTAACAACTAACTTACCAACAAATTCTAAGTAGGCAGAATGCATCCAAATACATTTATGCCTAGCTACCTTGAAACAGATTTTTTTCTGTATTAGAAGGACAAATTTTGAACACATTTAGTAATAATTTTTTATTTGTGAAACTGAATTATTTAAACAAACCTGTGCCTTCTTCCAGGATTTCCACTCTTGTAGCTCCATTTTATACTCCTCCATTTTCTTTCCATATTCTTCCATATATTCTTCTAGTAATTCATTTATCTCAGCCTGAATTTCTGCTTCGTATGCTTTTTCATCTAACCTCTGATCAACCTCTTCCCTTCAAAACAATAGTTATCAACATGTTGCATAAATTAACAGAAGGGCTACAATTAAGTCTATAATATATGTCTACTTCTCTATGAATTAATTTAATTATATCAAAAGTGTGTTCTATTTAAAAATATTTGCATAGATAGTCTACAAGTTGATAGCAGATAGTTACCATCCAGAATTATTATAATTATTTTTCTTTACTCATTAGCCTTTAGAAATCCTTTCTGTTACATCTTATTTTAACCTTCCTAGCTCCCCAAGCTCAAAAAGAATAGTGGTAGGCTCAACCATTGCCAGACAGTACACAATTCCTTACTTTTGCGCCCTTCATATCAGAATTGTGAGTTCTCAAATGGACTAATCTTATTAAAACTCTGCTGCAAATGAAATACAGAAGTGTTACCAAAACATACTTCCTCAAATAAAGTTTCATGGGTGTGTTAGTAAACTTCTGAAAGTCACGGAGGGATTTAATTTGTTTCCAAACTTTTATAATGGTCTTAAGCAACATTCTGTCTTTTTCTTGTTCAGCATCACGAAGTCTTCTGGTTTGCCTAGAAATATATATACATATGCACAAAATCAGTAAGAATTGTATAACTCAGTGGAACAAAAGAGTGAAAACTTGTGATACTAAAAGCCAAGTGATGCGGGTTTCAATTTGATTGATGGCTGTAGTGGTTTAAATCCAAGGAGCATAAAACCCAGACTTGAAGATGGCAGGATTTGATTTCCTTCTGTACTCTAGTCTCTTGCATTTAGGACAAGCTGACTTCAATTACAGTGCACTCTCTAGAGATCTCAAAGTTTTCTGACATGCTTATTACAGCTGTACATCATTAAAAACATTTTAAAGTCAATTCATGTAAACGACAGCCCAGGAAACCTACGCTGCTGCTATGAAGTAATGCTTATTACAATCATACCTTACAAATATGTTTTAAACTTAACATGCTTCTAGCTCCAGTAAAAAGAACTTGCAGAGATGAAGTAATGTATGAAGTAATGCAAGTCCTTTGACAGCCCTACAAGATTCTTAACACAAACAAAATTAACAGGGTTTTTTTTTCCCTCAGAATTGGTATTTCACATATCCACCCTCTAATCTATTTGTAAGAGAGCACTTTCAATGACCAACACACACTTCCAATGTAAATGTCTATGCAGCACAAGCACAGACCTTTTGCAGTACTATCTCGGTAGCTAAACATGTCTAGTAAAAATAATGCAATTAAAAAAAAAAAAAGATGTAAACTAACACATTACTACTTGTAATATTCACAGAATATAGAAGACAGGGAGGCTGAGTTAGAGCTGAGAAAAGAAAATACATCATACATTATTTAAAAGCATAAGCAAATTTAGTAAAAAGCATAAACAAAGATGAAATACGGACTTTACAGAAAGCAGTATGAGTAACTTCTCCACTTCATTAGCTAGCAGTTTGAATATTACTTAGCCATACAGCTTAATAACCTTTTCTTCTCTGTCTACCAGATGAGGCTAGAAGATGAAGCTTAAAGACATGAGGCACATACAGGTCAGTAATTACACTTATCTAATGTATTCAGTTTGGAAGCAGGACCTCTCAGTAGAGAATCCCCTCTGCTAAAATACAAGAGCCAGAAGAACCTGAGACCTGCAATCCACAGCATACATTGGCTTCTTCCTCAGCAAATGAGAATAGTAGGGCTGAAATTGCTAATTTGCAAAACTCTGCATTCAGATGACATTTCTTCCTCTAACCGATGGAAAACTACAGCTCTGATCTTCAGACAGCAAAGAGGACACATCAGTTACGTTATTGGAGGGTGGAGGAAACAATTAGGTTATTTTCCATGCTACACTCTCTTCACATCTGTAATTTCTCATTAGTGTACTACATTGACCATCAGGGAAATGCAATATTAGAAGAGAGACAAGGCAGGTCAGATTGTTTTTACCAACATATGTGGTCCAAGTTAGTATTAAACACCATGACAGTAAAAAACCCTGGGCCCATCTGAGCCTCATACATGTAACAGCTTCCAACAACAGAGCTGTAGCCAGAAAGAATTACAGATATGAAAAGCCCTAGTATAATCCCAGCCAAGCTCATCTCACATTACTTACGCAACACTGATCTCACTGATTTCAGCTGAGTTTCTTCTGATTCATAATAGTGTGACACTAAACTAAAGTACTCAAGACCTACCAAAACACTTAAGATACCCAGAAGGAATATTCTAAATCAGAATTAACCATCAAGCAAACCTCAGAGTTGGTGCCAAAATCCAAGAATCCGCTTCCCCCCAGTGAACCTTCCCATTACTATTCTCATGCTTTTCCTGGTGAGAACTCCTGTCTCCAAGGTACTGTACGGTAACTGCACACCTCCTGCTCCTAGTCCTCTAGCAAACGTGGTAAGAAAACCTTAACAAAAGCTACTTCTTTTTCAGTGGAAGGAAGACTTTGTCCTTCACTATAAAATAATACATTATAGGCTTCTATAGGTCCTGCACAGATGCCAATGCATTACAAAACAGCGTATTTGAAGGATGAAAACCTGAAGAAGCAATTCCCAAACTAAGAGTAATGGGTGGATGTATAAGTGTAAGCAGGCGTTGATTTCAAGGCTGAAAGCAGAATTGTTATTAAAAAAAAATTTTTTTTTAATATTGTATTATCGTGAGACCCATTACATCAGTCTAAACTTCTGTTTATATAAATTAATACATTATTGCCTACTTTCAAATTGTGAAAAACTTTCAAAGTTTTATTAAGTATCTACTAGTTAAAAGGCTGTTCAGCATAGACCTCCAAAATAATTTTTATCATACTGCTCACGCTTACAGCTCACCACTGTCCATTTGCCAAAAATAAAACTAACTTTTGCTATCAAGCCAAAAACTGTAGTATATTTTTACTACCTAGTTACTGTCCAAGAACAATAACTGTAATCTTGTAAAATAAAATTCTACCATTCTATGTATATTAACCCTCTGGCAAAACCACGGCTAAAATACCTAAGAATGGGAAGAGAATCAAGAACACTTCTGTAATGAGGAAGAAGACAGAAAAAACTAGGGCTTTTGTCTGTTAAAAAAAATTACATCACTTGCATTGTTGCAAGAGCTTCGTGCATCCAGCTGATGTCTATTAAAAGCTTATTTTAATTACTCTGTAATTGTGCAAAACATATCAGTAAATAGTTACTAAGTAATTAACAGAAGGTAATCAAATTAGACCACCTTTGAATCAAGATTTCAGCCTAAGCTATATTTTCTTCATAATTTTTTTTACTCTGTTTAGGAGTGAGAACTCCTAAGCCCCCCAAATTCTTCTAGAGCTATTTACAGCAGAATTTAAGAGTCTGACATGAATCACATTCTGTACCAGCATGGAAAGGAAAAAAGGAATGCAGTTTTAAAAAGCAAGGATTTAATGAATCCATACCTACCTGATCTCAATTTTGTATTCAGGTATGCTCTGTTGTGCCACAGAACCAGGAACTATTCCTCAGAAAATGCAGCTTAAATAAACAAACAATTAACACATGGTTTGACATTTGTGAGGCATACAGTGTAATGCACCTTGACATGAAAGAGCTAGTTACTACCTAACAGAAAACTCCAAACTGTCTTGATTCTGCATTTACGGGGTTTTGCCACATCTGTGAGGTGCTGATTCTTCAAGATGAAATTCTAATTAGGATCCCTGGAGATATGAGGGAGATTTACTGACTTTGATTGCTGTGACAAAACTAAACAAGGGGACAAGACTGATCTAGGGATTATTCTGAAAGCTCACCAATCAAAGGGCTAGGAAAAAAAAAAGTAAGTCTGCCAAAACCTGACCTTCTATAAAGGTTTTCTGGGGACTACAAGGGCCACTAAAGGTAACCCTAGAAAACCAATAAACAACAAAAACGTGTGGATTGTGGATTTAATGAGTGCCTTAGAGAAGCTGGGTACATTGCAACAAAGCATTTAAGCATAACATATTGCATGTAACAACAGGAAGAAGAGAAGGTCTAAGGGCAGGCCAGAATTGTGAACAATGGCATATACAGTTCAAATGCACTTTTGAAGCCATATTGTTGAGTCAAGAGGCTACCCCTTCAACTAAGACTTGAAGATAGGCATCAAATGATTACATAAGAGATGGACACCCAGTTTAGGAGAATGCAAAAATATACATGGCTGCAAAGACAAGAGAATGTAAAGGACTGACTTACCTTATAATAGCCCTTTAAGGTAAAGAATCATCACCACCTTTAATTTACGGAAATCTGAATTTATATGTATTTAATAATCAAACTAATTTTTAACAGACCTACTACATAGAGCTGCCATATCAGAATATTTACCTCACAATTCTAAAGAATTGTTATCCTTTCAGATTTCAAAAGCATTTTAAAATGCTTTAAAAATATTCTTGTGCACCCCGATGATATTAGAATTGTACTAGCAATGCCTAATGTTCATGTACAAATTTACACCAGAGAAGGCCACTAACATTACTTCCAACATACAGATGGAGGAATAGTGATAAGGGCTGCAGAGGGGAAGCAGCCCTGCCAAAGTTAGCCAGCAAGTCAGTAACAGAGCCAGGAACAGAAGAGTCTATGCTTGGTCTAGGGTTTTGCCATGTCACAAGAGTGACATAGTAAACGTGACAACAGTATCCATTTAAAACACAGCAGGTGTCACAGATATATACCTGGAAATGGGTCATCAACTTCTGTACAATTTGGTGAAATTAAACTGCTTCCTCTTTTAACTGACAACTGAAAGTAAACTTCAACAACTTCCCTCCATCCTTGAATACTGTCCTTTGCTGTCTGCCTGTCAGAGCTCCTGTACACACTCCTGTAAAGTTATCGGTCATTCACCGGAAAACATTCTGAATACTCTAAGGAATACTATATAAATTTTATTATATTCTAACAATTATATTCCCTTTACCTTGGAACCTGCATAGAGTTCATTTTAAATAGAAGATCAAAGAAATTAATCATCTTAAATATGCAGTTCTGCACTGAACACACAGCAACCTAGGTGAAATACTTCGGTTGTTACCTTCTGACAAAACACCATTCATTACATACAGTTAGAATTTCATCACTCTGAAGAAACAAATTCAGCTTTTACCTTAAACTGTCACATCATTATCTCAATAACCTATGATGATGGAACAGAAATACCTTGTCTGTGAGAAGTTTGGTAAGATTCTTTTGTCTTCTTGCTAAATACTGATCATATAATTGAGCTAATTTAGCTGCTAACACATGCTCACGGCTAAAACATGGATGATGGGTGAATATCAGTCCAGAAATATCAATATCCAATTGAAATGGCCCCTGAAAATCTCCAGGTCCAACAAGATACTGATTGGCAGCTGTCATTTTTATTGCCTGAAAGAAAAAAAGAATAAAATAGATTTACAAGCCCCAACAAAACTATTTTGCAAAGAGATTCTGTGACAGAACATGGTCCGTTTAGCACTGCCTACATCTAACTACTGTAGTCTTTAACTTTACAGTCTACTTTACAGTCTTAAACTGTAAAAGCTTCTGCAGTAATGTCTTTGCTTTATTGACAAGTGGGTGGCATAAAACCACCATGGGTATTATACACAACAGAATTTTGATAGCCTATATGACGCTGAAATAAGAAGTCACATGCCTGTACTGCAGGTTTTGCTGAGTGATGAAGACGATGACACTGAACTGGAAAAAGAAAAGCCTGCTAGCTCTCTTTCTACCTGTTTGTTTAGTATTGTTTTATTTCCTCTTAGAGCTGAGCTTGAAGATAAAACAGTCCAGCTCTGAGAGAGCAGCTTTCCTTGTAGACCATTTGGATTGTGCAGAAGAGGAACTATGCTATCTGCTTCCCCATTCTAACAACTGGGAAATTCACACCAACAAAGCCCAATGAAAGCTTTCAGCAACAAAGCTTAAAGAGTCTGCTTCAACCCGCTGCAACCCAAAGGCAATCATGGTTCATATCCTCAGGTTACTGAAATCAGAAGAGAATGAGCAGTGCTTCCTGCCTGACTACTGCTGCTCCCCTCTTAGAATTCTTCAGAATAGATTCATGAGAGATATTCGGTACTGTATTGGGTGGCTTTGGTGGGCCCCTGGCATCCAGCCAAAGTCAAACCACCACAGTCACCATAAAAAATGTAGTTATGTAGTGTTGCAGCCCCTTCCTAAGAACCAGAAAAAGGGGGCCTGAGAGGGGAATTCAGCTACTGCATAGCTCTCTTATAGGAGTGGTATAAATGGCCATGAACCACACTTAAATCCTCCTGATTCTTCCACATTCAGTTTCTCATCAAAATGTTTAATATGACATCATCTGTCATAAAAATGATAGCTTTGAATTCCTTATGTTTTAACTATTTTTCTGCCCATAAAGGACCCCTAACCTTAATGTCTTCCTTTCAATAGTGATTTGGGTATTTATACGTCACTATTCACGTAAACATAGTGTTCTTGAAACATAAGCTCTCTTGGACTACCTTTACCAAGATCTAAGAAGCAACCTCTTTTCCTGTATGCAGAAACACCCTGCATAGAACTGTAGTACTGGATGCATCCTGAGAATTACATGTTTGTAACCAGCATCAATTAAAGGGCTACATTCAAATCTGTATCAACAGCAGCAGACAGAAACACTTGTATGTCCCAAAAGAGCAATCTACTTTAGAAGTGTAAAAAGTCACAGTTTTTCCAAGCAGGTAATAGAATGCTAACCAAGCAGAACAATTAAAACTTGCTTAACGCTTGCTGAATGGTTTTAACTGAAACTTATTTTGATTTGTACTGACTGCACACTGCAACTGCTGTTTGCCAGGGTAGGTATGCTGTGGTTAGAGAAAACCAACAAAACCAAAAAAAGATCTGAACTGATGCAACATAACGCCAAATTAGTTGCTTTCTACATGAGCAAAATGCCTGTAAAGACTTATTCTGGAGGAGTTGCATCACTGTAAAATAACCCATCACACACATGCACTTCAATTATTTCTCTCTTAAGATGCAGAGAGCACCTCTGTCCTGATCACCAAGTCTGTATACCAGCTTCTACCACGAGGAGCTTTATAGACACACTAATACAGGAACTGCCCTACTTTGGTATGAGAATATCTAAGGGTGCCTCACAGAAACCTTCGTGACTCACAGACTTGAAACAGTTTGTCAAGGACTGCCACGTTACTATTTTAAGCAGTACTACTGGCTAAACTCTTCACCCTTTTGTATGCATTATTTTTACAGAAAAATAGAGGTGGAATATACTTGAAAAAGTAGAACCCATTTAAAGACCAGTTGCGGAACCCCAAAAAGCAGTCAGTACTCATGATTCTTAGCACAAAATGCTTCAGCTCACCAGGGTTTCTGGTACAGAAGAACTGGGATATTGGATCTCAGGAACCACATATATGAAATATGCCTACCTTTCTATACACTGTTTCAAGTTCTGGTGCAATGCCTTCTTCCAATGAGAATATTGCAGGCCTAGTAGAAGACTGTTTA